TAATGAACAAAATTATAATACTGTACACTATATATGATAGTGACTATAATTAAGAGGTAAATGTAATTTGTAATGAGTTTCAATCAACGACTAGATTTGACTACAATTAAGATTCAATGATTAATGTATTGATGGCTTCATTTGATTCCTCGAAAAACAATTAAAGTATTTTTGTGACACTAATCGCAGGCTTTCCGACGATAGGACTGAGTAAGTGTTGCTGAAGAGTCGGCGCCGCAATGGCCGGACATTTGACACCGTTTTCGTTGTTGTTGTTGACGGCCTTCTTGTCATCCTTTGAGGACGACTTGATTTCCGACACTTTGCTGTCACTCTCGGGCTGTAATGTAAGCATTACTGGCATTGCGTCGGCTCTGGTCGGGACACCAGAGGCCGGTCTGCAGCGGACAATAGTGGCCAACATATCTTTGGCCGATTGGCCACTAATGAGAGCACTCTTACCGATGAAAGTGGCGGTCGTTTGTACTGAACTCGAGGTCTGAGTGGTCTGTGTTTGAACTGTCGGTGACAAGTGAGCGGACAATTGGCTCAGAGTCTGTGTCTGCGCCTGAGTTTGGGTTTTGGGAACGGTTTGTATGTTTGAGTGATGAGTGTTTCGGTGATGTTTCAAACCGTGGGATGTCTTATAAACTTTGCTACAATCGGCGCATTTGTACTCTTTTGGTGCCGTTTGACTGCAATGTCATAATCAGTGGTCAATACTATGCACTCATAATAGCATTTGTTTGCATCCAATACCTGATGATGTGATCCTTGGGTTTGTGAGCAATTGGATTAGTTCTGTGAATATTCCTCGTGTGAGACTTTAATCCGTTTGAATTGCGGTATCTCTTGGTGCAGTTGGCGTGAGAGCACACATAAGGCCTGTCCTTATCTTCTTGAGACTGATTACCGTTTGTCTGCCCCGAAGTCGGACTCATTATTCTGTTCATAAGTCAACACATTTACCGTCCATTCAAAGTATTAAAACCAATGTATGTCTCACTTGAGTATAACATTCGCCGAGTCGTTGTCCACAGTATTATTAACCCACGAATCAATACTACTCTCACCCGAATCGGTTCCGTTGTCTTCTTCGTCCATTTCACTACCTATTAATTCAATTCAATTATAACTCAAACAACTAATGGATTGATGCAAATGTCCGACCGGTCGGTGTAGTGCTGGACAGAGAGAGGGCCGGAGAGTGCGAACGGATCCCTTTCCGGGGCTGACTGTGGCTCCCATTCACCGACTCTTTTCGACATTTGTCCGCAAAGACTCTGTTTTCAAGATTTAAATCAATTATTAATTACAATCAGACGATCGGGTGATGAGTGGTCTGAATGCCAGCCAAACCTCAGGATATAACTGATTGGAAGACATGAGGGCTGTTGTGATTCGTGCTCTTCAATCACTCGCGGATCAAAGTCTGCCACAAAACAAACAAAGAGTGAGTGATTATCGATGGAAATGAATGTGTGGTCGGAAGCGGTGGAAGGGATGTAGTGTTTGGGTCGGGAAGTGCTAACCGAGATGTGTGTCTTCGATGTGTCGGATCAGTTCAGTAAGAGTGGCGAAAGTGATGCCACAAGAGTTGAATTTACACGTATTCAGGAGAAAGACAGCCATTTGTGGCCATCAATTGTCTTCGCAGTGATTGTGATGTCCTGTCAATCAATTCAAAGCCATTTTGGATGAAGTGGTGAAGAGAGCGGATGCGCACAACTGGTCCCCACATCTGATCGTTCATTCATTGGCTCACAATTCAAATCAACGCTAGATTTGATTGCTTTATGTTTGCATTGATTCGCAATTAAATCGTGAATTAAATTTGAATACAATTTA